TGGACCCAGGACTGACCCCTGGGGGACACTGCTACCTACAGGCCTCCAACTAGACTTTGCGCCATTCACCACAACCCTCTGAGCTCGGCCATCCAGCCAGCTCTCAAGCCACCTCACCGTCCACTCATCTAGCCCACACTTCCTGAGCTTACCTAGGAGGATGTGATGGGAGACAGTGTCAAAAGCCTTGCTGAAGTCCAGAAAGACAACATCCACTGCTCTCCCCTCATCTACCCAGCCAGTCACTCCATCATAGAAGGCTCTCAGATTGGTCAAGCATGATTTCCCTTTGGTGAATCCATGCTGACTACTCCTGATCACCTTCTTGTCCTCCAGATGCTTAGTGACGGCCTCCAGGAGGAGCTGTTCCATCACCTTTCCAGGGATGGAGGTGAGGCTGACAGGCCTGTGGTTTCCTGGCTCCTCCTTCTTGCCCTTTTTGAAGACTGGCGTGACATTGGCTTTCTTCCAGTCCTCAGGAACAGCCTAAGTCCTTCACTTGTCCTTTGCAAGACAACCTAAACCACTAACATGTCAGTTTCAAGCGTAATTCTGTTTCCCTGCTCTCTTTCCTCCCCTTTTTCATCCTCTACACAAGACCCAGGTTTGTTTCTCACATATGCTTTTATAGGCATTTTTGTTTGTTACAAAATTCCCTGGTTTTCCACATTGAGATAGTTCTATTTTTTCATTTTGGCAGAACAACACATGATTTTCAGTCTTTTTCCTTTCTGTATAATTATTTTTAAGTCCTCAGTACCACCTTTGAACATCTGCCCTGCTATACTTGTCTAAAATTTCAGAACAAAACAGATTAGTATCTACTAATTCGGTACCCATGCCACATGGAAAATGTACAGGCCATGTTGTATGCATATTTCACCATCATCACTCCTTCCTTGGCTAATGAAGTAACACAACATATGGAAATGAATAAAGTTGAAAAGAAAATGAGCCACTGTCAGAATATGAGCTCCTATATTACCACTCTTGAATGTCATCTGAGTGGAAGAACTTGTGCAAGCCTACAGTATTTGAAACAATTTACGATGGGGAAAAAGGAAGAATTATAAACAGAGCATGTTACAAAAGGAAAGTTCAGTCATAAACTTTGCATTATCACCAGGTAAGCCAACAAGTCACAAAAACTGTACAGTCCTGACTTGTTAGTTAGCCTTGCTTTTGCATAAATAGTGCTGAGTAATCTCTGCCATGTGCATTTGAAAAAGCTATTCTAAATAAGTAAAAACACAGAATCGTCAGTTGGTTGCTCATGTTGGGTAAACTGCAATATATCTACATAACTTTCTGTAAAATATAATTTCTGGTTTTGAGCACTCTTAATCATCACATGCATATGCTTCATACTTCAGCAGTATCCGTTTTTATATTTATACTTTTTAAAATGAACAGTTAGCTAATAATTTTAAACATTTGTGCCATTTTTCCTCCATTGTCACAACCCTGAGACTGCTGTATGCACTCAGTTGATTTCCTCAGCCAGTAGGAAACTGAACAGGAAGCAAGACCAGAAACTCTCATCATCTTTTCCAAGGACCACAAACACTACTGCTTCTGTATATCCACAACTTTATTTACTCAAAACCATAATGTCAGATTCAAAAAACCAGATCAGATACTTTTGACATGATGAACTAGAATTGAAATGGTAAATTAAAATAAAAATGGAGGATCATCTAATGCTTTAGATGAGAGACCTGACAACCAATAGCTTGCGCTGCCGAGTGCATACAGAAGGCACTGTACTAAGCCTTTTGACAGCCAAAACAGGAGAAAAACCCAAGTCTCCACTGTTACCTGCACTAACAGGACATTTTTTTGCTGATAAGCAGCAGCCTCTCTTTTTGAGAGTCAGTACCTCCTGCTTCAGTGCTTGGCACAGACAACATGTGCTGAGCAGTGCTGTAGACAGAACACTGAAAAAGAGCACATACCTGACCCACTATAGCAGTCTATAGGCAATGATAAGAGATGAGAGCCTACCAAAAGCATGAACATCCACTTCTCCCTTTTATTAAATGGAAGTGATATCCACATGTATCACCAGATGTTACTCCACCCTGACTGCTGAAAAGAACATTGTAGGAAGCAAATTTAGAAAAACAGAAGGAGAAAAAGGCATTAAAGAAAATCCATGTTTGGAAATTTGTGTGTGTCTTGTACAAGCAACTCACAGTTCACTTCAAGTTGTTTAGCCCCAAAAATGATGGAGCCAAGTAAGAGATACAGCAGTAAGAAATGCAGCAATTCAAATACCGTATTTATCATCATTTTGATCCACTTCTCTCAAAATAATGCTATTCAGATTAGTTGCTGCAATTATCCTCTTCTAGTCAAAAATAAAAACTTATTTACCACATGAAGAATAGGCTTATTTATATTACACTGAGTAAAGGAAACTCTTTTAAAGAATTACTGACATAAATGTTAGAGCGAGTAAAGTTCTTACGTATGACATGAGCACATCTCAAAGCTGAGAAAAACAAAAAAGATCGCACAGTATACACAAAATGTGGCAGAAAACAAAATCATTATCAATATTATTTTTCAAAGCACTATAAAAATCCACATAATAATGCACTGTCTCACATATGGTATAAATTAAACACTTGCAAAGCACAAACTTGCATTAGTACCACCAAAGCCAAATGAATTTGTGAGTGCAATGCGCCGTTTCTCAGTTTTCCACTCCTGAGCTGTTAGTGGAACATAATTGAGATCAAATCCTGCCTCTGTTTTCTGTAAGTTTAAAGTAGGTGGCAAAATTCCATAGTAACAGGACAGTGTCGTAAAAGCTGCTTCAATAGCTCCTGCAGCCCCCAAGAGATGCCCTGTTGCTCCTTTTGTCGAGGAAACTGCAATATGCCGTGCATGATCTTTAAAAAGTCTCTTGATTGCCTGATTTTCAGCAGCATCTCCTAGAGGTGTAGAAGTTGCATGTGCATTGACATATGTTATATCTTCAGGTTTGATTCCAGAATCTCTTATTGCTGCAGACATACATCTTAAAAACAAACAAACAAACACACACACAAAACCCACAAAATGCTTAATTTCCCATTATATTCTTGTGACTAATACATGTGTAATAAAACAAATGCAAAAGTATAGAGTGTGTGAAAATGTTTATCACATGTGAAAATCTGAACAGCATACTACAGAGAAATAAATATCTAAAATATTACACAAGTTTAGGCACCCTCCACTAATTTTCTCTAGCGTAGCTGATACATTAAGGCAACATGCAGCAGAACAGTCCAAGAAATTCCCTTGTTGTAAATGAAAGGAAGATTCCCCAGTTTTACATTTTCTTTCCTTCACATTTACAGTATTTCACTTTGCTCACAATGTGCCTAGTTATTAAGAAATTAGCAATACAAATTGCTTCACCCTTGTCCTGCAAAAAATTGGGAGATAAAAAAAAAAAATTCTGCAATCCTCATGCAGAGTTTCTTTCGCGTTCTTTCTAGAGGTTAGAAGATAACCCTTTCCTTTCCCTGGAATAGCAAGGAGATAGCTTAAATTCCTACAGACAAGATGAAATTTACTGGAGATCCCACCATTCTGCTCTGACACTGTATGTTCCATCCTGGCTCCTGACAGGACTGTGACTGCTTTATAAAACAAGCTCTTCTCTGAAAACCACAGAAAGGTCGACTCCATACTGTGATTTCCTCACAGATTTCTCATAGGGAAAGGAGGATGAATCACATGTCTCTCATTGTACATGCTGCTTAACTAAATATCTCTGAAGAAAGGATCACTGACTCTTTTGAAATTTATGGCAAAGTAAGAGGCAAATAAAAATAAATCTCCAAAAACAGATAACTCAGGCTTCTGCACAAATTTTAATGTGTCCAGTACAGTCTTCTACCCTTAGAAGCATCAAGCAGCATCCAGCTTAGCTTGGATGACAGTCCAGAGACCCTCTCTGTCACTAAACAGTAAGCAAATATTCCAGCAAAAAAGATTACTGATCAACTGTGAGAGAAATAGACACATTAATTTAGGTTAAATATGTCAGCTGCAAGGAATGTAACAATTTAAGGAGGTAACAGTACATCTTAACTGTACGGAATACACTTTGTATACACCCTTCCGAGTCTGGTTTTGTGCTCTCTTTTACTGCAGGTTCATTCCAACATATGTATTAGTCTCCAACTGAAATAGTTATTAGAAGACGACAAAAATATATTTCCCTGAAATTTTCTGACATGGCAAATGAAATTAATAAAGAACAGTACATTCATGCAGTAGCAAAATATTTGTATAAAAACTGTATTGAGATGTATTATCTCAATCTCAAGGGTAGAAAGGCTCAATATTTTGGAGATATCAAGATTAACTTTCAACTATTTCCCATTGTGAATTCAATTTATACGCTACTGCAATCATAAAATTATGTTACAAGGTATTGCTGTATCATCTCAGGGGTAAACAAGTCTGAAAATCTAAGATAAGAAACTCCTCATTACCTGGCTCACACTTAAGTCTGCAGAAAAAGTAACTATGAATGGAGCGAAATCCGGTATATTATATTATATCCGGTATAGTCTCTAAAATCTGTTAATCCAATAGGGATGCAGACACAGCTTTACCCTATCACGTAGATGTTTGATCTATTTGCACAATGACATATTGAATTTTGTTATTAAACACACGCATACACTCAGCCTCATGCAAACTAGTAAAGCTTCCTGTGTTTGTCAGCAATGGCCTATACACAGCTCACAAACAGTACATATACTTCAACATGTAATTTAAATGAAAATTTAATTAGTTGAATGATAAAGGTTGTCATCTGCTGGTGAACTATTTTTGACGAGATTAACAAAGATGAAGTTTTACCATTTTGCCGAAGTGCATTAAAATGTATTTTTGCTGCATCTCTCCACCAATGCTCTATTAACTGCATTCCCCTTACAGAACACAATAATAGCATGATCTGCTTAAATGGTGAAATAGAAGTTGAAAAGTTTTTTTTATTCTAAGAGAATTTTAAACAACTAGTTTTCTTTGAGCCATTTGTGTGAACAGCTGCAGGCTCCAAAAGTAAAATACTTTCACATAGGGAAAGTTCTTATAACCGTTCAAAAATGTTGAGTCTAACAGGAACTGGCCTTCATCCTGTAACTAAAAGAAGAAAAACGGGACAAAACCTTACCAGAAACTTATTGTTTAGATTAAGTTTTCAGACTTTTCAAAATCTATGTATGATTTTTAAATTGATACATGAGTAATACTAATGCAAGACTGAAAAATATTTCTCTGGGCAGAACATACAACAGAGAAGCAAATGTAGTCATCATAATTAATGTATGAAGTAACTATTACAATTAGCACATAGGTTCTTACCTGAATGCACCATCTCCCTCTGGATTAGGTGCTGTTATGTGGCAAGCATCACCAGACAGTCCATAACCTAAAACTTCTGCATAGATCCTAGCACCTCTTTGTACAGCGTGTTCATATTCTTCTAACACTAGGACTGCTGCACCCTCTCCCATTACAAACCCTTCTCTCTGTGAATCAAATGGTCGACATGCCATTTTAGGCCTTGAGTTAAAACCAGTGCTGAGGGCCCGAGCTCTTGCAAATCCAGCCAGGGACAAGGGACTAATAGAAGCCTCAGTCCCTCCAGCCAACATCACATCAGCGTCACCATGGGCAATAAATCTAAAGGAGTCTCCAACAGCATGTGCTCCTGTGGTACAAGCAGTAGATACGGCATGATTTGGCCCCTTCAGTTGATACTTAATGCTGATCTGACCTGCTGCCATATTGACTAAAATCTTTGGCACAAAGAATGGGCTGACCTTGTTATAACCTTTTGTTTTAAATAAAAAAGCTGTCTCAGAAATCTCTTCCAGCGGAACCATTCCCATTCCAATTGCCACACCAGCTGTTAAGCGGTCCTGTTCAGACTGAGGAGACCAATCAGCATCTTTTATTGCTAGCTCTGCCGCACCAATCGCCATGACAGTAGCAGAACTCATGGATTTGATCTCTGATTTTGAGACAAAGCTTTCTTCACTGAACTGACCCTCCTCGTTTCCCCTGGGCACACAAGCAGCCACTTTACACGGAACACTTGCATATTCTTCCCCGTCTAGTGATGCAATCCCACTGTCTCCTTGGAGAAGGCGGTTCCACACAAACTGAGTCCCCACACCAAGAGGAGACACTAAGCCAATACCTGTAACAACTACTCTCCTTCGACATGTAGGCAGTGACTTGGTGCTAAAAGCTCTTCTGTGCTTTCTTAAATACTGATTTAATTTCAGACTCTGGAGATTTGCAATCTTTAATAGTTCTTGTGAACACTGTGAGATCATGGTGGAAATTAATCACTTCATGCAAATTCCTGTAACGGGGAAAAAAAGACACAAACACAACAACAAAGCAGCCAACGTGAGGAACATTCCAAGTACACTAAGTTAACAACTTTTTTACACGAAAATTTGCTTTCAACACTGCAGAAAGGGATGTAGTTTCCGTCTCCACTGTCCAGAAGGACACACACCATGGCGGACGGCACAGACGCATATTCACTCTGCAAATACCTTTAAGATGGCAGAGCCAATGAAACTGGTGGGCTCTTTTAGCTTAAGCTGCTAACGAAGACTACAGCGCACCAACGTGGACTGCAAGGCATTCACTACTTTTTTTACGCTCCCTCTAGGGTTTTAACCACTAGTTGACCGGAGGTATCAACAATGAGCAGGAATAACTTCAGCTTTCTGAGGTGGGCCTGAAAGAGTATGTCCTACCATTAACATGTTAAGGATGTCACTATCTTAATCCCTAGGTCAGGCAGAATGGTCTAGAAAACTGGGTAACAGAAGGAATCAAGAGAGTTGGACTCTGTTCTCAGTTCTGCCATTAAAGCAATTATATAACTTGGACCAGACTTTTCATCTTCGTATGTCCACCTACCTTTTTTCTGCCTTGGGGTACTCACAACGTCAGCTCTATGCGGTGGGGACTGTAAACATGCAAGCATGTTTGAGAAAGATGTATCATAATGGCACATTAAAAGATCATTATAAACTGAACAAAAAAGCATCTCAGCTTACAATCATTTCATACTTACATACAGACTAATATTTCTACATTGCGATAAAGTTTAATTTTTTTTCTAATAGAAATAACTATTAAAATAAACAATGTTCTAAAAACTTTTCTGACCAAAAACACTCTTGCCAGCAACGTGTCATAGCACTTATACCATATCCTGGGATCTGGCTACAAATTTGGGTGTTGGCCAGAAGCCATGAAACACACAGCCCGCAGATTTCCCAGCTCCCTTGAACCTCACTCTCTGAGACCGGGTTTATCATGCAATATGTCAAGCGGAAGGCTGCTGCTGAGGAAAAGTACTTCTAGCAGGACTTCCCTGATGAGAGGACCATGCTGAGCAGTAGCACCTCAGCCCCTCTCGCAGGCGTTGTCTCAGCCACAGCCAGATAAGAAATTGGTCTAATGCTGGAGCAGGCTAGAGGCTACAGCACTATAAACACATAGAGTACAGGCTTCAATAGGTCTGAATTTTTTGCTGATGCAAATTTTACATTAACAGGCATTTTCTCCAGCCCATTGTCATGAGGGATATATTTAGTTTTTTCTTCTACTCTCTGCAGCTGGGAGAGTCACTGCACTTAAAAAAGCAAAAAGTTAAACCCACACCTACAACCTTTTCATCTCTGCCTCCACCTCTGATTTGACAGCTGTAAGAAGTACTACTAACATTTGCCTTTAGCCAAAAACACTATTGAAACAACAGGCTTAATAATCAAAAGACTTGGCGTTACATAGTCAAATGTTTCCTGCCTCATAAAAAGGGGAACATAACATCATTAAATATTTGGTAAAACAGGAAGGGCTGTATTACAACCATGTGCTGTCACAAAATTAACACACTTCTATTAAAATCAAAGACTTACTCTTTTCTATGGCACCTAAAGTATGTAGCAGTCACTAAAAAAAAGCTATAAATAATGTCCATTAATGCGTACAGGTTCTTTATATGAGCCTATTTTAACTTATAATCTAAATTAATCATTTTAACTCTTTCAAGCCAATGAACCTGCATTTTATAAAAATACTGAGGTTAATTAGAGACATCTATAAAATAATACTTACCTAGTAATCACACGTGGCCTTTAATAAAATATAGGTTAACTAGCTTTAGATAATTAAAATGATTAATTCGATTCCCAAAAAAAAAGGTAACTAAAGGCAACCCAGGTTTTATTCACTGTTTACACTGAATGGAAAAATAAAAGGGAACTCATTTCTCCTAGGGAACAAGGGCTTGTTTTACACGACCGGGTGTCCTGAGAAGCGGTAGCTATTTTTAACCGTCACGCCGCGGTTTAGCTGGGCGGCCCAGAAGAGGCCCCGGGCACAGGCCGCTGTAGTGCGACCAGCGGCCATGTCAGCTCGGCGGCCCTCCCTCACCACGCCCCCCCACGTGACCCTCCCCCCTACCCGCGCCGGTGACGTCCCCCGCCGGAAGGCGGGTTAGCGCCCGGGGGGGGGGGGGGC